GCATCTGGACCCTGTGAGCATAAAGAAGCCAGAAATATAAATACCCAGTAAGAGACATGTGAGTCAGAGACAGAGGGTAGAAAATGAACTCCACAAAGATTCAGGACACTGTCACATTCATGAATATTTTAGTGTTCACATAGGATATTGATGATAGCTTTAAAAGCACTGCTGGCACACCACAGACCCAGTGAGGGATATTCCTAAATGAGAATGTGAGGAAAATCCTCCTAGAGGACACATCTGTGATATGAACAGGAATCCTTATGATTAAGAGATCCCCAAGCCAATAAAATGCTTGAGCTACCCAACTACTTTACGTAACTCAGCTTTCCTTCTACCTGCACCTCATCACAATCCACCCCATGTGACAGTCTTTATATGTGACTGCATGCCAAAGATGATCACCACCGACTTTCCACAAGTGATCAAAGTTTTAGCCTTTTCTGATCTATGAGTAATCAACTTTAAAATCCCATCACAGAGGTCTGTTTTATAAACACTCTTTAGAAACTAGTCTTTCACATTTCTTTGAAAATCGGGCCTCAGTCAAGGATTACAAAAAGGTAATTTATTTGAGAAGTAATCACATGGATCAGGAATGATGGAAAGAGGGAGTAAAAAAGAGAAAGAAAATATATACGTATGAGTAGCTTAATAGGCCATTAGTACAGTGGACAAGTGCTCAACCCTACACGACCTGAAGTGAAGGTTCATAAAACATCTCTGAACGATCGGTCCAGGATTCTATCTCCCACACATCAAGGTGGTTCCATGCATGTGAACATCCTACCATTTCAGGCTGCCCACTTGTGATAGTGAGAGGCTTCCTCAGCGTGCACCATGCTTTGATGACAGAGAAGCCCTGGGGAAAGAAAAACTATGTAGCTTGAGGACAAGGTGAGACATTTTCAGAATGGACCTGAGTGAAGCTTGTTGAATTCAATACAGAACTGGTTATAGCAATGTGACTGTGATTAAAATAAGAGGTTTATTCCTGCTCTCAATGGGTTATAGTTAGGTTGCGTATATATCATGGTTTGCTCAGTAAATCCTAGGGCTATTCTTTCTATTCCCAATTTCTCTTTCAAAAGGTTGAGAACATTTGACACAGCACAGAGGTGGTGATATTGGGTAATGTGGAAAGGAATTGAGTGAAATTAAGCTTGACACTTAAAAGACCTGAACCCGAGGATCTTTTTATGTGATGAAAAAGTATTTTAGATTTTATCCTTTATCAGATGTCACTGATGGATTTTGAGCGTGGAAATAATATGACCACACCTGCATGTTAGAATGATAAAAGTTTGTAGGCAGCAAAAGTGCTAGAACTAGTAGTATAAAGACCAACAAATAGAACCATTTTTAGATAGGAAACATTCAGGCAGTAGGATTATACAGAGAATAATCTCTTGAAAGCTATTTTGGAGAAAGAGTCAATGGCCTGGGTTTGAGTTTGAAAACAAAAGTATAAGAAATAGAGGAATCTAGGATTACTCCCAGGGGAGCAATTGGGTGACCTAATACAAGTTAGAAACATAGATTAGAAAAATGTTGCCTGGTGTGGGTGAAGCATGAGATATACAATGCTCACTTGCCTATGTAGTTTGAAGATGGGTTGGATATCTGGAGAGAGAGAGATATATATATACACACACACACACACACACATATATATGCATAACTATATATACATATGCATATATGCATATGTGTGTGTGTGTGTGTATATATACATCCAAATACATGCTTGAATATATCAAGCAAGAATTGAGAATATCAATGTGGAGTTCAAGGGAGAGACCAGGGCTGGGTAGAGTGAGAATTAATAGCATATAGCCATTATGAGGAGAGAAAAATAAACAATGGCCTCAGAAAGATTCCTGAATCATGGACTTCTCTCAAGGGCAGCTCTCAGCCACTAAGGAAAAAGGAGAAGATTGAAAATGAAGTAACACAAATCTATGACACTAGAAATAATGACATGTGATTCCTAGGATCATTGTTGTTAGGTTATTTATTCCCCTTGATCTGATAGTAGGAATAGCTAGAATAGATGGTTGGGATCCATCCTGAACTAGTAATAACTAAGTTGGAGAAAACTACTTCCCCCGGGGTCAAAGCAGGTCTCCACATTTAGATTTTTTTGTAAATAACGACAGCTACCAATTTTGATTGCTTACTATGAAAAGCATTGGTTGAGCCTAGAGCTTCTCCAAAAGTATGCTATTTGTTCTGGATGGATTACAGTTAAGTTAAGCATATGTCCTGGTTTTCCCAGTAAGTCCTCGGGTTATTATTTCTATTCCCAATTTCTCTTTAAAAGAGATCTATGTCTGCATAATCAGCTGTATAGTCCTTCTAGGTATAAATGCACTGAAATATTGATCCCTTCAATAGGCTAGGCAATTTAGCATAGTTGGGGGCCCCAAACTAGTTTCCTCTGCCCTTATCAATTTGCCTCAATGTGCAAAGCAAATATTAGACTTTTCCATGTGTGGTAAGATGTAAAAATCATAGAGAATCTGGGAAATCTGCTGGATATAATTATTCCAATTTAGAGATAAGGTATGGGTTAAGTGGTGCAACCAAGATCAAACAGGAAGTGGGATCAGATCTCTCTTACTTTGAAGCTTGTGATCCTTTCATAATTCCACTCTGTCTTCCAAGCATCCATCTAGAAGGGACCCATTCCATTAATTCATCCTCTGAGCCCCATGCCAATCTAATGCTTGAGCTACCCAACTTTACATAACTCAATTTTTATTGCACCTTAGTGATGTCCATCACAGCCTTCTTCTGCACCTTAGTGATGTCCACCACAGCCGCCTTCTGTTTCTGCTGAAATAATTTTGTGATGATGACATCAGAAATTGTTCACTTTTCAAGACAACATCAAAAACAGATGTCCATCTTGTTATCTTTTCTAAACAATCATGCCATTTGGGTGCCAAACCAACTGCTTCAGCAGAACCTAAAAACCTGCAAATGAGAACTTGGTATAAAGTATACTTCGTTTTGCAGACAATTTCCATCTACATAGTTTCTGACATTGCATTTTCAAATCAGATTGAAATATAGCTTTCTTACTGAGTACACTCGTAAATTTATCTGACTTAAAAGATTTATGAAAAGTAATTGAAAAACATAGTCAAGTAAAGTCTTATACATGTCTCTCTTATAACTGTCACTTTTTAAAAATTGGCAACACAAAGAGTTTTTCCTAAATATTTATCCATACATTTCAGTTCCTAAATATTTACCCATGAATTTCAAAAATAGTTATGATATTCAGCCAGAATATTTCTCTTTCCAAAGTGCAAATTCAATTGGAACCAAGTCAATGGAGAAAAAACTTAAATATGATTATGTCAAGAATTCTCCTACCCTAATTTGTCCAAGGTTACTCAGTTACCAAGAGGCAGAGTAGGGAATAAAGTCAGGTTTAGATTATTTCAGAAACTCAGGATTTGAAATGATGCTCCCAGCTGTCTTCAGTTGTCGCATGCCCACTCATGAGACGTAATTCCTCAGAGTTGATCTACCTGTCTTTCTTTGAATTTCCAATCTACCTACAATTTCCATGCTATCCAGGTAATACCTTTTGGTCACCTATTTTAGCAAAGCTTTCCCCAAGAACTATGTAATCCTGTGTTCTAGCTAGCCTGGGTAAACCCTATTCATCCTTCTAATTAGATTCTTTTGTAACACATTTAATTGACCATATATGAACTTGTAGTGACTAGAAGGCATTTAGTCATTGGAATAGAACACCCAAGTATAGTAAATGAAATGCCATCATCCAGAAAATTTGGCCTAGATTATCCTACTTATTCTAGTTCATTAAGCAATTGGTTGTAATATGTTTTAACAGTTGGGTCCCAGCCCCCAATCTAGAGTTGTTCAGTTACTTTTGAGAGCAAATATTATTTAATACCTTAATGGAAGAGCATTCATTCATAGAATTTAAAATTTTTAGTTTCTCCTAGTAAAATGAAACCTATCTTTTAATAATCCAAATGTGTTTTTATATATTTCATTAGGGAATGTTTAAGTTAAGTGCTATTAGTGTGATAAAAACATTTCAAGAAACTACACTACGACATTTATGATGTTTTATTAATAATACTACTATTTTCTAAATATTTTTCTATTACTTTTGAAACTTATTTTAAATGAAAGTTGTCCATAGAAATAACAAGATATAATTCATAAATTATATGAATGTATACACTAAAAATTATATACACACATACAATTATAGCAAATATGTAATTGAGTATTGATGTTTATGAAGTAGGACTGTAAACTAACTAGACAGGTTTTTTTCTAGGCAATGCAGAAATATAAGCCCAATTTCATGATGAGCCTTGGTTTGTAAGACACAGAAATAGAGCTAAGCTCATATTTGTGAATGGGGGGCAAAATTCTAACATGAAAGTAATTGACAAATCAAATATGGTTTTCATTTTTGACTGCCAACGCTCAGCTAGTCAGGCTGTGGTGTCATATATTGTAAATCATAAACTTTAAGACTGTAGAGGATTTACAGATTATTCTTTTGTAATTTATATTATTAAAGCTGAATGTGGTTCTCTCTGATTCAAACTTCAAATTTGTAAACAAATACCTACAATATAATGCTAACTTTTAGTTTCAGAATTACTGTTTTTTTTTTCGTTTATTTGTTTTTTACTGTTTTGGCTGGTGTCTGGTAAAAATGGAATTGAGAACCAGATTTGATGTCAGGGGAATTCAACGAATCCATAAGCCTTGGAGGTCCTACTGATCAAGTCCAATTACCAAGTTTTTATTGAGCATGCATTTTTATGAGCCTATTATAGTTGCCACCTCACTGCTGTCACTGAGTTGCATCACGGTGCTTGGTCCATTACTTTGCATCACTACTGGCTCCCCTCCCCATGTGACAGTTTTGGCCAGAGCCAGACTTTCTTGCTAGGCAGTAGCTAAATCATGAAGCTTCTCTTCCTCTTTCTCCCTCCTCCAATTTATACAATGTCACTACTGGGATTTAGCATCTAGGCAAAATTTAACCTGCCTTGCTTCAGAACACCATTTCCTTGATCACCAGCCAAAATACCAGCCTTTTGTTTTTATTCTCCTTACTGTGCCATCTTCGTAGTTGATATTTTCTTTCTCTTTTCAATCTTCTACTCCTTGTCACCTTCTCAAATTTTTCCACTATGACACTAAAATTCAAAATGCAATGATTAGCATCCTCAATATCATCACCTAATCCCTCCTGTGTATTCTGACTTGAGTTCCGATTCTTCCCTAGGCCAACTGCACCCCTGAAGCTCACTCATATGAAAAGGTTGCAGAAGGAGCAGGGTTTTACCGATCATCCCAGTAATTTCCAGACCATAACTCTTCTGCCCTTCTGTTAATACCTTTTCTCCTATGTGAATTTCATATGAACTGATTGTGGCCCCACCACTGCCTCTGCATTTATGGGTGACTTTATCATCAGGTCCACTGTCTTCCTCTACATTTCCTGCAATCATCCTCGGCGGACTCAATATTTTCACCTATCAATTACCTTGGCCTCTAAGTTCCTTGACTTCTTTTCCTCTGTCTCAATTATTTACGTGTATGAAACTTGTTCTCCCTAACAACTTGCCCATTTAAAAATATATTATTCCAGTTTACATACTCTTAATATACCCAATTAAGAAATTTCCTGACCTCTACTCCCTTTTGCTATCACTTTTCTTTTCTTTAAATATTCACCACCCTCTCACATCTTTATTGTGCTCCTTTTCCGGCTTACACTCCATGTTCAGATGTGTAATCACTTCCTTGCAAGCACTCTTAACTCTGCTTCTCTCCCCTATTACTCTGCCATTATTGCCTGGTGATACTCAAGCCTGATTAAGCTCCTTTGTGTACTTGCTCTGTGCCTGTATCTGAGAGGCTCCAGGATGCTAGGAGAAAAGCACACAACTGTGCTGATGGGCACTTCATCTCAAACTCATGACTACAAGTCTCAAATTAGCACCCCACAATGCCATATAATCCCATCACACTTCTCTAGGAAACTCATTTGCCTATTCTCCTCTGTGTCATCCTTTTCTATGTCCGACTTTTCTTCCCCCTCTCACTCTCAGCCGAAAACATCACAAGATAGTTCCCAGAAAATTAATCAGGAAAGAATGACCTCATCTTCTATGCTGGCTCCTCCTTTTATCTGCATCTGCACACTCTGCCATTCTCCCAGTTATAATGGAATAGGTGTCCTGCTGTCATGTAAGGCCATCCCCTTCATTGCTGCTTTCAGAGATCAGCACTATGCTCTTTCTTTTTTGCAACATTATTTTCTTCCTCTCCATGAGATCATTTCTACTTGCACACAAATATGCCTTCATATCACCCATCATTTAAAAATATTCCATGCCTCTTCAGCTATCATTTCAATATCTGCTCTCTTTACAAAAAAACTCTTTAAAGGATTTTCTGTATTCATTGCTTCCACTTCCTGCCATTCTATTCTGTCTTAACCTCACTGTAATTGAACTGTTGTTAACTGAAATTACTTTTATCACCATCACCAACATTTTATATCTTCCCAAAGCAAATCGTCAATTTTCTGTCCTACCTTGCTCAAAATTTCAGTAGGATTCAACAAATCTGACCACTTCCTTCTCTTAAATAACTTCATTTTCTAGGCTTTTGAGACCATGTTTATGTGCTTTTTTCTTCCACCTTGAGGAAAACCTTGAGGAAAACTCTTTCTCATTCTCCTTTACTGACTTTTTTTCTTCTTTTCTTTTTTTTTTTTAGATGGAGTCTTACTCTGTTGCCCAGGCTGTAGTGCAGTGGTGTCATAGCGGCTCACAGCAACCTCCGCCTCCTGGGTTCAAGCAATTCTCCTACCTCACCCTCCTGAGTAGCTGGGATTATAGGTGCCCACCACCATGCCTGGCTAATTTTTGTATGTTCAGTAGAGATGGAGTTTCACCATGTTGGCCTGGCTGGTCTCGAACTCCTGACCTCAGATGATCCATCCACCTCAGCCTCCCAAAATACTGGGATTACAGGCGATGGCTCTTCTTTATCAGACCTCTAACTCCAGGAAGTCCTAGGGCTCTGTCCTCAGCCATTTCCCATTCACTAGCTTCTCTTTTCCTAAGACAATTTTATCCATTTTAATGGCTCCAAATGCCACTCACACACCATTCTTCCTAGTAATGAGTAATTAATAACAAATAAATAAATGAATGTATTTATAATAAATGTGACCTTTTTAATAGTCTTAGCTATACCTTGTATATATCAAACCATGTGACCTTGGACATATTTATTTATGTCTCTACTGGTAACATTACTTTGTGCCTGGGGTTCTTATGAAAATTAGGTGATAATATACATGAAGTACTTAGCACAGTGCCTGGAGAATAGGGGGCCTCCAATAAATGCTAACACAATAAAAATCTTAGTTGTGATACCAACGGGCTATTATTTAGAATGATGCAATCAAGTCAAGCACATCCAAGTTCTTAAATTTTTACCACAAGATCACATGCACAAGATGGTAAAAATCACTTGGCCTTTTATGAACTTGTATTCAAGAGCTATCTCAGCAAAATGTGTAAGTGATTACACTTTTTATTTGGTCAAGGTGATGGTTTCATGACTGTACCATAATGTCGCAAATAACTCCATTTCCTCAACTTTAGATAGGAATACAGCCAATTCAAGAAAAGCTTAGAATGAATATTTCCTATTAAATTCATACAGAGTTTAAGTTTATCCACACTGGGAATAATTGAAATGTTTACTCTCTCTGGGAAATATGTCATGGGTAAAAGGCAGATTTAACTTCTTTCTTCTAAATTCACACCATTTTAGAGGAGATAAAATCTTTATATTTTTTTCTCATTTCATTTTTAAGTCAGCCTTGCGAGTTAGCAGAAAGAATATTTTTATTTTATAGATGAAAATACTGAGGTTAATTTGCTGTTCAAAATCACATCACTTGTATTTGGTAAACTTGTGCTTGACACCCAGGTCTTGACTGATCATATGTTGAACATTCCAGTGCTATTTTTCAATGCTGCCGCCTTAATGGAGTACAAGATGAATTTATTTTATCATATGAAATAGAACAGGTTGTTTCCACTTGTTAACACCGATACCTTTATTTTACTGCTCTCTAAAACATTTCCCTTAACATCCCTCTAACTGAGAAGCTCCAGGTGCATGCCTTAATCTAATGTATATAACTTTACATGCCATGAAACACAGCCATTTAACTCTTGTGAATTTCTAGTAACGCAGAAGACACCCAAACACTCACCAGTTATCAAACACGACCAAAAATGGAGGAAGAGTTATAGCAAAAGAACAGCCTACAAAGAGATTTCTTTAGAAGGCAGTGAGTAGAGAATAGCTTTCAGAATCAGTTGCAGCTGGGTCCGGACTCTGTTTTCATCATGATTTTGCTGTGTCACTTGAGGCATAAATACTTTGAATCTGTTTCTCATCTAAAAATGAGGACAGTAAAATGTAATCCAAGGGTCAGCATGAGGATTAAAGTGCTTATTAAGTACTTGTGAATAAAAATCAACTCAAAATGAATTAAAGATGTAAATGTAAGATACGAAACTTTAGAACTCCTAGGAAAAAACACAGGGGAAAAGCTTCAAAACGTTGGTCTTGACAATGATTTATTGGATATGACATCAAAAGCACAGGTAACAAAAGCAAGACTAGACAAGTGGAACCACATCAAACTAAACCGCCTCTGCACAGGGAAGGAAACAATCAACAGAGTGAAAATACAACCTAAGTAATTGGAGGAAATATTTGTAAACCATATATTTGGTAAGAGGTTATTATTAAATGTATATAAGGAACCCATGTGATTCAATAGCAAAACAAAATAAAACCTGATGAAAACAACAGTCTGATTTTGAAATGGGCAAAGGATTTAAATAGAAATATCTCCAAAGGTGACATGATCTGGAAGTGTGTTTTCTTCAAATCTCATGTTGAAATGTGATCTCCAATGTGCGAGGTAGGCCTAGTAAGAGGCATTTGTCACGGAGGAGGATCCCGCATGAATGGCTTGATGCCACCCCTGTGGTAATGAGTGAGTTCTCACTCTGCTAGTTCATGTGAGAGCTGATGGTTTTAGAGTGTGGTACCTCCCCCAACCCTTGCTCTTTCTCTTGCTTTGCTCTTGTCATGACACGCCCACTCCCACTTTGCCCTCTACCATGAACCTGATGCCTCACTAGAAGCTGAGCAGATGCTGGTGCCATGTTTTCTGTGCAGCCTGGAGAACCATGAGCCAATTAAACCTCTTTTCTTATAGATTACCCACTTTCAGGTATTTCATTATGGTAACACAAATAGACTAGCAGAGAAAGCATACAGATGGCCAACAGGTATATGAAAAGATGCCCAACATCACTAATAATCAAATAAAAGTAAACCAAAACCATAATGAGGTATCACTTCACACCTTTTAGAATAGCCCTTATTTTTTTTTTTTTAAAGATAAGTGCTGGCAAAGATGAAGAAAAATTAAAACTCTTATATGCTGTTGGTAAGAATGTAAAATGATGTAGCCACTATAAAAAGCAGAATGAGGGTTCCTCAAAAAATTAAAAATAGAACTATCATATGATCTAACAATCTTAATTCTAGGTATTTTTCCAAAATAACTTAAATCAGGATCTCAAAGTGATATGTGCAGTCCCATGTTTATTGTAGCATTATTTACAATAGCCAAGAAATCGCTATCATGGTTGTGTGAATAAAGAAAACGTATGTACACACAACGGAGTACTGTTCAGCCTTAGTCAAAGAAGGAAACTACCATGTGTAACAACATGGATGATCCTTGAGGACACTATGCTAACTGAAATAAGCCAAACAGAAGAATAAACACAGCATGATCGTTTTTTATGTGAGTTATCTAAAACAGTCAAATTAAGCAGAAAGTAGAATGTTGGCTGCCAGGGGTTTTGGGAGAGGGGACTGGGAAGGTGCTGTTCAACAGGTGCAAAGTTTCAACTATGCAAGATGAATAAGTTCTAGAAACTGTCTGTGCAACATTCTACCTGCAGTCAACAATACTGTACTGTACCTCTAAAAACTTGTTCAGGGGGTATATCTCATGTTAAATATTCTTACCACAGTTAAAAAAAAGAAAGAAAGAGAGCCACCCATATCCAAGTTTGATCATTAAAATATCTATTTGTTTTCCTGGATTTTGTATCATTTGATTCTTAAATATTCCTTCTTGCTATAGCACTGTATAGCAATATGGAAAGTCCCTAAATACAGTAGCATCTAGGGTTCACACCTTGTGTTACTCTACTAAACTATTTTTGAAGGGGTGGGCTATATCCTATCCCTGAAACCTCCTGTTAAGACTCCGGTAGAAAACAAATTGTTTCATGCACCAGGAGCCCAGAGTTATTTTGGGCCTGCCACTTACCAGCAATGTGGTCTTGTGTGGGTCATTTAACATCTCTTATATTTTCTTTTGTTATCTATAAGTCCATGAGGCTGGGCTAAATAATCTGCTAGACCATTCCTGTCCCAATGTTCTCTGATTCAACATATGAACTGATAACAAGGATTTCCAAATTAAAACAAATTCAGTGTTGCATCCAATTCGGAATGCACTGACGTGATGTTACCAGATTTAGCATATCTGTGGAGAGAGGGAAAAAATACAGAGTTTACTGGCAGCCTGGGTGAGTCAAAAGGCCAAGCTATTTTTGGTAAAGACCACTAAACTGTCTCAGGCACTTATATGCATTTTCTTAGCAATAGGACAAAGCATTCTGCTCAAATTCCAGGGAAAGACCTACACCTTTGCTGCAATTCAATAGTGAAAGAAATATACTTTATCAAATAAAGACAAGACACACTGAATACTGACTGGGTAGTATTTATGTCAGGCTTCTCAGTTTGCCGATTGGTAAGGTTTTCAAGTGACCTCATTATTAGATAAGATTCGTAGCTCAAGGAGGGGCTAAAGCAGCATTATTTAACTCTTTTTTTCCCCTTTTGCCCACATTGAATTGAATTAACATATCCTTAATAAGTATTAATAGTTACCTTGTGATGGGTCCGTTTGTCAGTGCTGTGAGATAAAATGAACTCATGCATATTAAATTTGGAAAACAGCTTTTCAAACTAAAGTCAGATCAGTGGGTCTTTCTAGTGTATGTGCATAATTAAAATAAATAATATAACTTTTCTTTCATCCCCGACGTTACTGTCGTATCATGAAATTTGAGTGAGTTCAGCTCTACTAGAGATGGATAACTCTGATACCCTCTGTGTCTGCGTCGAGGAGGCTGCAAAAAGTGGCATTAGCAAATAAGGACTCCAAAGACAAAGACTCGAATCCCAGTTCTGCCTCCTCATGGCTCTCACTGGCTCTACCTTGGGCAAGGGATATAGACTCTGGCCCACTTTGTTTCCTTATCTGAACAATGGTGATCATAACTGCACCTAATGTATTAAATATACATGTGAAGTATTCAAGCTAGGGGCTGACAGGTAGCACTAAGTAAACACTATTAGTATTATTTGCCTATTACTAAAACAAACTTGGAATTACAGTTTTGTATAATTGTATATTTTGTATCTTTATGTGTATGTAAATTGGCTCTTTCAGGTTCCACAGTGCAGAAATTCACCTATTCCTCATTTGTTTTGCCACTTAAGATCCATTTTTGCCATTTAAGAGCTACCTTGCCACTTCACAGGTAAAATGTTAAATGATTTGCCTCCACCTCCACTAAACGTGAACCTTTGTAAACATAGGGGGCTGGGTCAAGGCATCTTCCAGCCACAAGGGGACTGAGAAATGGAAGCCACACTGAGAAAGCAGATGGGAGGAATGTAAAAAGAGAATCTAAGCTGTTGTATTCAGACCTTATTCAAGGTACCTCTAAAACCCTATTCTTGAAATGTTTATTTGTGTGGGACAATACGTCCTCCATGTTGATTGAGCTAGCTTAAGATGATGATCACCTGACACTAGCTAAAAGCAAGTCCTAGCTATTAGACACATGAAAAATGCAACTCTCTTGGCCTACTGAATCAATATTCAGGAGTAAAGCTGAGGAATTCTTAATCTTTAACCAGGGTCCCAGTGCTTCTCCTCTAAACCCCTGTTATAGGGTGAATTAAGTTCCCCAAAATTCACATGTTGAAGTCCCAAACCCCAGTATCTCAGAATGTGACTATATTTGGATATGGGGTTTTTAAATAGGTATTTAAGGCTAAATGAGATCACTAATGTGTGTCCTTATTTATTATGACTGGTGTCTTTATAGGAAGAAGAGATTAGGATACAGACACACATAGAAGAAAGACCATGACTGAGCAGTGGTTCATGTCTGTAATCCCAGCACTTTGGGAGGCCAAGGCGGGTGGATCACCAGAGGTCAGGAGTTCAAGACCAGCCTGGGCACCACGGAGAAACCCCGTCTCTACTAAAAATGCAAAAATTAGCCAGCTGTGGTGGTGGGCACCACCTACTCGGGAGGCTGAGGCGGGAGAATCACTTGAACCTGGGAGGTAAAGGTTGCAGTGAGCCAAGATTGTGCCATCACACTCCAGCCTGAGCAACAAGAGTGAAACTCTGTCTGAAAGAAGAAGGGGGAGGAGGAGGAGGAGGAGGAGGAAAGAAGAAGAAGGAAAGAAGGAGAAAGAAGGAAGAAGAACCATGTGAGAAAACAGAAAAGACATCTATGTACAAGCCAAAGAGAAAGGACTTGAGAAAAAAAAAAATCCTGCTGACATCTTGCTCTTGTACTTCCAGCACCCAGAACTGAGAAAATAAATATCTGTTGTTTAAGCCACCCAATCTGTGGTACTTTGTTAAGGAAGCCCTAGGAAACTAATGTAACCAGCTCTTATAAACAACTCTAGTACACCTCATCTTATACCAACATCTGTTTTGCAACCTTTTAGGCAAGCAATCCTACAGCTTTTGTTTAAAGCTCCCTGCAAAGGGAACTCATGAAATTCCATTATGGCCCATTCCATTGTAGAGGTGCTGTTTCTCTGTGAGAAGATATTCCTTACCTTGTGCTGAAATTTATATTATCCTAACAATTAAGGTTCATAATGATAATACTGGGACATTCTGAAAACCTAGAGTGCTTCCAGAATAATCAAAGTAAACATTTTACACACTGAAAGCTTATTATTATGTATATTGTTTATGGTATAATGTTTGATGTGAATATTCTACCTTTTAATTCATTTGGGATGTATGATAAATATTATTTGATTATAACCAGAACATCCAATTTACTGATCTTTCTAGTTAAAGTGCAGTTTATCATAGTTTCTAAAAGTAGAATGAGATAAAAATATGTGTGGTGTTTTCTTCACCCAGGGATTTTGAACTTCTGAGGTATAATCACCAAATGATGATAAAATCTTAATAGATTTGGCTTCACTGTCCCTTTTAAGGTCGAGTTCTTTAGCTGGAGAAGTAATATTTGTTGCATACAGATTTCTGTCTGCCCATCACAAGCTTCCTATTCCTATAAACTTATAGGCAACACTTTTGTTAGGAAGTAATATTTTAAAAATATCTTCTAGCATGTCCTGCCAACCATTTTACTGAAACAATGATTATTTTGGACAGGCACTGCCTAGTGGAGTTGTTTAAACTGATTCAATTACCTGTATAAATGACCCCTAAAGCTTTTCCGTTGAAGAGAGGATGTTTCTCACACTGGAGCACACTGACAGGTTAAAATTTTTAGATCCTTTCACTTCAACTGACTCTATTGAAACACATATTAAAAATGATAATAATAATAGTGAAAGCTAATATTTATAGACTGCTGTGATTCCAACATAGACCTTTACATTTATTTCCTCATTTACTATCATTATTAATTGATGTAGGCTGTATTTTCTATTTGCATTTTACAAATGAGACTCAGAGAAGTTTAATAACTCAAAAATCACACTCTTATGTAAGCAGCAGAATCAAATTTCTTATCAACTCTAGCTTTAAAATCATGCTGTCAATGACCGTGTGCCTCCTACAAGAAGAATGTACAGTCCAAGGAAAGAAAGATTTGTCCTCTAAGCAACAACTGTAAACCATCTGTAAAACAAGAATAATAATATCTGTCTCTTGAAATTTATTTTAGTAAGGATTGAGTATAAATGTAATTTATCTCAGTACCTGGCCATAATTCTTGGCAGTTGTTACCTAAGTGCTTTATTAATATCAGTTTTCTCCTTTCAGCAATATTAGCTACACATACTCAGGACACTGAATTGGGCCACACAAGAAAATCTAGAAGTAGAAGATACAGTTGCCTCTGACTTCTCAGAGTTTATGTTCAAGTGGAAAAGCAAAAGATAAAGGTAGGAAAAATTTTCAAAACAATGTATTATGGTGACTGCATAGACCAGGGGTTTGGGAGCCAGACTCCACTGGTTTGCATTCTGTCTCCACCACTTCCATCCACCATTTGCAAACTCAAACCAATTACTTTCCCTCTCTAGGTTTCAGTGACTTTATCTTCAGAAGGGGAATCTACCTCTTGGGGTTGAATGAAGGTTTTAACAGATGTTATTCATAAGTGTTCATTTGTACCAGGGAGGATTGTGAGAAATTTCCTTTTTGTATCTCATTTGATCCTCACAGCGACTTGATGAAATGGGTACAGTTCATTTTATAATTGAGGTAGTTAAGGCACAGGGAGGTACATACTGACAAATGTCACATAGCTAGTAAGTGTTGCAGGTAGGATGCTGTCTCAGGCAGTGTGGCCTTAAGCCCAGTCTCTTAACTACACAACACTGACCTCCAGATAATAAATGATACACGTGAAATTCCAGAAATATTAAAAATGCCCCCAAATAGTATATTTATGACATGATTAATACTTTGTCAAAATAAAATTAACTAAAAACTGTTTCTTAGGCTTAAATGAAAGAATAAAAGATTTTCCAAATTGTCAGAATAATACTGCCTTTGAGTACAATGAACAGCATTATGGTGTTTTTTGTTTTTTGTTTTTTTTCTCTCTAATTCCCTAAATGAAAGAGTACTAAGTCTATGGAATTGACAGCATTTCCAAACTTTTTAGATTCCTGCTCCTTCGTGTTCTTTCCAAGGATGACTTTTAACTTGATGACTTTTCCCATTAGCTCTGGGCCTCTCAGCTTGCTTTGCCCAACAAAGGTCCACAGATAAATCATATGTGGCTGACATGATTTCCTTGAAGTTCTCAGTGGTCTCATCTGCCTTGATGTGGTTCCTTTCATGGTTTCATATGGCACTTGTGGTACAGGAGTAGGCCTAAGGCCAGCAGGGTCATATTGCACCCATTTGTTTTCTCTTCAAAATGAAGATGGTGTTTAAATGAAAAATTGTGTTCCAGGAACAAATTATTTCCCTTTGAAGCTCTATCCTCTCACATGACATTTTAAGGTTTTGTGGAGAGAAATAATTTGTAATTTTACATATTACTCTATGTTAACTTGGTCCTCCCATTTACAGTGAAGAATGGAAAATTCAGGTCCATCTTCCTTTCTTCAGCATTAAGACAGAATCTATTTACAGGCTTGTAGTTTTTAGAAATCACTTTCCTAATTATATCAGCTATACATGAATGTTTACATATATTCAAACAATATAAGTAAAAATTATGTCTTTTTCCCTTTACCATTTCTATTTCCTTTCTCTTCCTAAAGGTATATTCTGCTCAGCTTTTAAAATATATTTATATGCATATACATATGTATGAAAATATGTAGTTTTTATTGGATAATATTAGATAAAATATTTTGAGCTCAGTGACCATACAATCTATCTTGTTCTTTGTAATGACCTCAGATTCCTCGGTAGAGATGTAATACAGCTGGTTGATAAGACTTCATTTTTTATCCATCTCTTTTCCTCTAGTTATTTGGAAATTACATACCCTATTTCAAACCCCCAAGTTGTTACTGTTACAGTTCCACAGTATCTATATATGTAGCACAGGTTGAGCATCCCAAATCCCCAAATCCAAAATTTGAAATGCTCCAAAATCCAAAACTTTTTGAGAACCAACCTGATGATCAAAGGAAATGCTCATTGAAACATTTCAGATTTTTGGATTTGGGATGTTAAACTGGTAAGTATGACAATAAAATATTTCAAAATCTGAAATCTAAAACATTTCTCATCTCAAGCATGTTGGATAAGGGATACTCAACCTAAATATGACATTTATTACTATCTAGAGGTAATCTGTATATACAGCCTTCCCACACACACACACACACACACAAATTTTTACTTGCTTTCTTCCTTTCACCATATGCTACTAACACATTGATACAATCTTAAACTTTCCAAGACTATAATTTTATTTGTTCTTTCAAGGTTTTGTCTTTGGTATTCTGCAGTTTGAGTAAGTTACAGGCAGATGTGTGTCTGTGTGTGTTTGTGTGTGTGTGCGCGTTTTGTTTGTCTTTTTAAAATCCTGCTTGGTGTTCTCTAAGCTTACTCGATCCGTGATTTGGTGTGTAACATTAATTTTGGAAAGCACTTGAGCATGGTTGTTGCAAATATTTCTTCTGCTCCATTCTTTCTTTCTGGTATTCCAACTATAGGTGTTACACCTTTTATTTGGATATTCTCATCTGTTTGGTTCATTATTTATTCTCTTTGCATTTCAGTTTAGAAAATTTCTATTATCTATGTTCCAGTTCACTGATCCTGTTCTCAGCTATGTCCACTCTACTAATGAACGCATCAGAGGCATTCATCATTTCTGTTGCTTTGCTTTTGATTTCTAGCATTTACATTTGATTCTTTCTTAGAATATCTGCTTACATTACTCATCTGTTCTTGTCTGATATCTTCTTTTTCCATTAGTGCCTTTAACACATTAATTATAGTTATTTTAAATCGTTTGCCTAGTAATTCTATATCTGTGTCATATCTGAGTCGCATTCTAACGACTGCTTTGTCTCTTCAGAATGTTTTTGTGTGTTGGTTGGTTGGTTTTGTTTTATTTTGTTTTTGCCTTTTGGCATGCCTTATAATTTTCTGTTGAAAACCAGACATATTGTACTGGGTAATAAAAACTGAGCAAAATGGCCTGCAATGAGAGGATTTATGTTAATCTGGCTAGGAGTTAGATTATGTTTAATATTTGTTGTAGCTATAGGTGTCAGAGGTTTCTAATTCCTCTAGAGTTTCTGTTGTTGGCTCCCCTGTTGACTTGGGTTTTTTTTTAATGCAGTCCTATGAGAGTCTGTGTCATCCAGCTTTTCCAGCTGTAATTCACTGTTATTATACTTGTCAGTGTGA